CAGAATAATGATAAAAATCATGAAAAAAGCTCCTCCGCTCTCAGCCACGGTTCCTGCCCTTCCGCAGTTTCTCCCTTCACATCAATGCGGCCAGCGACGACACCTGGGCCAGCACTGTGGTGTACTTCCCCAAATATCGAACTGTGTTCTGGGGAAGGTCGAACGGTTCGACGTGCCTCGCCAACTGCGAGATCACTTGTGGGTCCAAATTGTGCGTCTCCACGATTGGAGCCGCGTGCCTCAACACACCCTGTTTTATGGAATGCGCCGTGGCATTCCAAGGAGCCAGAGCTCGTTCCACCTGGGCAGTCGTCAGGTTCGTGAGCCTTCCGTTGTTTCAAAGTGTCATACAGAGCTTTATAATGTCGAACGCATCCTGCCCTCGCATCCCCACGAACCGCGAGGCGCAGTGGGGATCCGCCCTCGCCGTCTTCGGTGCCACGGGCCAATACAAAATTAAGGTCCCGTTCGGCTCCAGCGTGACATTTTTGGGAGTCAAGGCCACAATCTCAAACAAACGGCTCGCCGTTATCCACACAAGTCGAAAAACAACGCGTTCCTTCCAATCGGTCCGGCTGCGGATAGGTTGATTCAACCATTCCTTTGTCAGGGGGCGCGCCTGCTTCGTCTCCCATCGCGACGCTATTTTTTGTAACCCCAGAATCACCATTTCCAGCGGGGTTCGATTCATTTCCAACGTGGACCGCAGCATCCTGGTGTGCCGCGGTCGGGTCGATGGCGCCACTTCTAATATTCCCACCAACAAGGCAGCGCAGCTCTCCTCGTTCATCGGCTGTTCGTGCGTGCGGCAAAAAAAAAAAAAAGAAAAAAACGTTGAAAACTGTTCGCTAGGGGCATTCTCTGCTTCCACGTTGACGGCGCCCACATTTATCAAGCCACATCGTTCGCCCTCCTTGTGTGACTGGCCCAAAGCGGGGATGTCGGTAATTCGTCGTACCACAGTCGAGCGTCGTTGGCGGATAAGCTCCATTGCCCTTCCCGACGATTGCGTCGGGCGATTTGAAATATCGGATGGAGCGTCGGCGGTGCGGTGCGCTGCCTGTGAGGATTGGTGGGAGGTGGCGGAATGAATGGAGCTGCCGTCGCCAGCATTCATGAGCGGCGTGCGGCAGCCCCTCTGCCGTTTTTTGTTGGCCCCTGTATTGTGAGTAATTTCCTCTGCTGCGCACGTTGCATGTAGATGCCTCGTGTCCATAGGTGTGACATCGTTGGCATCGCGAAGTGCGTTGGGTTTCTCGCCGATCGACGAGAAGCTGGACTGCCCTCGCATAGGTGTCGGTCTGGTGGGCTGCGGTGTAAAGACGGGTGCGCAGTTTGGAAAGCCGGATGCCGGGATCGGATGCAATCGTGAGCTGCATCCGGAATGTATTCAGTAGGGACATCCCCATATTTATGAACTGATCGGTGGGATCCTGTCCGCCTTCCAGCACGCCGATCCACTCGACCAAATTGCCAAAGACAAGCTTAACCTGCTCGTCGTCCTGTTGCCAGCATTGGTATGCGCACCGGAGGTCGAAAACGACTCCGGAGGCGCCCTCATTCCATATACGCGTGGGCCACATGGTGACGTCGAATGCGCAGAAACTGCGGTCCTCTTCCATAGGTGATTGGGCTTCCAGGGGAGAAGTGCGGGAAGGCAACGGCGTGAAGGGGTGGAAATGTGGTCTCCCAAAATTGCCGTGAGGGAGTCTGTAAGCCGCCGAACTGTGTCGGGCCGCGCTGCTAGGCACACCTCCAGCTATCAAGATATCCGTTTGATGCGGTAGTGTAGATACGCCACCGTTGGCAACGTGTCGAGTAGCGGGGGCATCGTCCCGCCCCGCCGTCTCCGCATCCCGCGTGGGTTGTTGTGCATTATGGCGTGCCTCCCGTTCCTGGAGTTGACCCGTGAGCCTTCCCAAGTTGAATTCGCGCTCCCGTAATTGGGCGTGAGCGGCCTCCAACTGCTGTTGTAGTTTTAGGACCTGGTTGCCGGCCCCGGCGATATTGGATTCCCTCACCGATAGGTTAATATGCGCCTCCTCAACCTGCGAATTAAGCTGATCATTCCGATTCTGCACGTCCGCGACGGCGTTAGCGTAATCAAAATTCAATCGCTCCCTTTCAGTAGTGATGAGCCCTTGTTGGTGCCCCAACTCCCGGGCTGCCCCCATAGCGGGCAGGAGCGCTTGTGTCTCGAAATTAGGGATCCGAGGCGCCCGTAGATTCGCAATATGTCCAATAAGAGTAGAATCCTGTCGTGCTTTAGAGATGGGTCCATGGAACAGGCATAAGCCTGTCGATGATGCGGCCACAGTTAACGTCTCGTCCGACACCTGGTTACCATTAATGAACGTCATCTGCACCTGGGTCTCGCCACATTGGCACACCATGTCCCAGAGACGGGCGCCAATACCACACCACTCGGAGGGTGTGCAGGGAACCAAATCCATTTCCTGAAACTTACCTGGCTGTGTGTCTGTAAAAAATAAAAACAAATATTATCTGGCCTCTATCGGCTCCCTGCCCTTACAAAATGGCGTTCTTCCCCTAAAATTCATACGGTAGAGAGTATCATAAAGAATGCATTCATTTATCAGGATATACATACATTCATTAAGTTAGCCGGCTCTCCCGAGATCATTCTTTTCACAAGCTCCTATTACAATAAAGTCACGCATGGATTTCAATGCGCAGGCCTTGAAACTCTTCTTTCAATTATTATTTTTTTCTTTTTGTATTTCCCCCCCGTACGTGAGGTGAAGCGACAGAGACTTACGCCCCACAACTCCCGCCGTCCTGTTAACTCGCGGATATGAATCGACGCCGACAAAAGAAAAAAAAAAAAAAAAGAAAAAAAGAAAGAAAAATACTACGATAAAGGGAATAACGAGGCATCACACGCAAAAATTCACCAACAAAACCCCGAAACAAACATCACGAAAGCGCCTCTATTGCCTTCACCAACCGACAGAAGGCTTGAAGTCTCCGCTCACGAAGCTTATTTTATTCAACAGAGAACGGAGAGCCATTCACGTCACAAGGGCCCACACTCGTACTATTACCATTATCACCAAGAAGACATTGAATTTCACAAGACATCTGAAGAGTTCTCTCAAGAGCGGCTTTACCCACAGGATGATGGATTCCATTCGCACCTCCACTCTCCACGGTAACCGCAACCTCCACAATATGCTGATGAAACAAATCCCTGTACCCTTCGGTGGCGCGGAGCAGCTCCAACTGCGTCGAATCAAACATCAAGTGCGGAGATGCTTCCGTCGTCACATCGCTAAAATGCAAAGGGGATTTAGATACATCCTGTACAGCAACACGGCAAGAAGAACCATCTTTAAATTCCGCCTTACAAGATTTTACACCGGGAAAAACTTTCAACTTAATTTCATTCAATTCATCATTCTTAGCGCAAAGCTTTCATGCAACAGCAAGAAGCTTCTTTTCCCTCAATCGCACCAATGCCATCCGCTCATTCAGCTTCTTCTCACGTACGTTAATAGATAAATCCGGAGAAACACACTCCAATGACAAGGCAGCACATCCATCCGACACACAATTCGAAGCCAAAACCTCAAGAGGACGACAATCCAACCCATCAGCAGAAAAACAACAAATTTTTTTCTTCGTTCCCTCACAAATTTTACGGGACTCCCGCACCTGCTCCTGCAGCTCGCCGCGCTCGCGGACTAACTCGTCAATATGTGACTTTTTTTGCTGCTATTTCTTGTAGATTTATTTTGTTCTCATTGCTGCTGCTGTCGATTGTTGTGGTAACTTCGTTTTTTCCTGTGTGCTTTTCTTTATGGAGAAGTATTTCCGTGTGAATGTTGTTCTCGATGAAATTGACGGTGTCGTTGTATTCTTTTCCGTTAGAATTTGACGACACTAGTTTTTCTCCCATTTCAATCGTTATTTTATTCTGCATTTCTTCCACGTTATGAAGGCTTGCATTTCTTTTGTTATCTGTTTTTTCCATCACTTGATTGGTCTTGGAAAAAACATCTTTTGTTCGTCCGTGTTCTTCTCCCGTCTGCTGTCAAACGTCTTTGCCGTTTTCGAGCAGTCGCATCTCCTTGTCATGTTGTATGCCGCTGGACGATAAGGCGTTGTCGTCTTTATCTTGACGCTGTTGGAGTGGCCATCCTGTTTTCATTGCCGCCGCACGAGTCATTATTATTTTCTGTCGCTCGATAACTTCAAGACAGCGCAGGCAGACAATCTGCGGCTTGTCACCGTAGTGCCCGCTTATGCACGAACAGTTACAGGCGCATTTGGAGCATAGAACAATACCGCAGCGAAGGCAATTTGTTTTTCTGCCGAAGAGCCCGAATTTGGCGCCGCAGTCCTGATTACTGGCAGTAGTTTGCTCTGGACGGCAATTGCCACTCCGTTTGCGGAAGCACGCCAGTGATGGACATGTTGTTGGTGGGTGGCGAAGTGGAGGCAGCCATCGCCCTCCCTCTCCCCTTTCCCCCAGTGTTGTCTGCCGTCTGTCTACAGCCCTACGGCAGAAAGAACGCACACAAAAAAAGTAGCAAAAATTATTGTGAGTAGTGTTCTTTCAATGTGCGTTGGAAAAGAAAAGTTGGGCGAAAGCCACGGGCGTAATGCCCCACTGATGGATCGTGAATTGACACGTTTGTCTCCAAGCATTAAAATAGGAATAAATAAATAAATATTAAGTAAAGAAAGTGAGCGACGGAAGCAAATCCTCTCCTCTCCGTTTTTGTTTTTTCTTCTGATATTTCAGCAATACCCTTCCGTTGACCAGGAGGCACAATTTGCGTCGTGCCGCGACAACTTCGAGTGGGCGGCCCTCCTCCGCTTCCAATTTTTCGCAAATGCATACATTTATCAATGTATATATATGAATAAATATATTTTCGGATGCGTTTCGTATTCGACGTTGCTTTTTCCACTTTTTGGCCTTTCCCTCACCTTCGCTGCTCGTACCTGCTGAAACCACCACCACCACCACCACCACCCACAATGCCCCCTCTTCTGCCGCTGTTGTGCCCATTTGCTTCCAGCCACGCGTCGTAATCAACCAATCGCAGATATTTAAGTTGCGCACTGTATAGCGTTGATTCATTAAATAGAACTGCGCTTACCAAAAACACAAAGGGAAAAACAACATAAAAAGAGAACCGTGTTGTTTGCCTCATACCATCTTTTAAGTCTTCTTGATGTAAATCACGCAGGTAACATGCCTTACTTGTCATCTCCTGCATGTCCACACCCATCTGTAGTAGGGCCGCGTTTCGGTTTTGCCACAAAGCATACGCATACGAGTAACGCTGAATGTCGGCATAGGCAGTTGCTTTTTCTGCCGCAGACTTATCGGATGTCGTTTGCTGGCCACCAAAAGACGTGGTCGGCTGCAACATCAGAGGGGACCGTACCTCGTGTTGTCTGACGCCATTGCTGTTATTCCCATACAAGTCCTTCCCCACGTGTTTGGGCCCCGAATTTCCGGGAATAGAAGACAAATTCTTCCGGTGCAAGTTCGGCGCATTCGCGTCGTAGAATAAATTGCTAGTGCCGGGAAAAAAGGACCTGACTGTTTTTGCCGAGCGCACGGACCCCCCACCGCTAGTTGATGGTGGAGCTGAAGAAGATACAACCCCAGCAGCCGTTGTAAAAAGCGGTGATGTCATTGGCTGCTGCGGTGGACAACCAGGGCGCCGCACAAGAAACTTCTCCATGCCCTTAAAACACTCACAAAACACAAGACCCACTCTGTCATTGTTATCGGCGCACCGAAGTTTCTCACCGGCTACGGGATCTTCTGCGTGCCCAGTTGAGCTCACAGTTCGCGGCGACAGATGAAGCGATGATCTACGGACAGAAGAAAAACATGGTAGCTTCCTTGGACGATACATTGAGCATAAAATTGCCGTGCCCCACAACCGTGTAATTGGTCACTACCCGCAGTAGTGTTCGTGCCCTCTCCCAGTGGACCGTTTGGCAGGCGTAAAAGGGCTAAAACAAAAAAATAGACCCACTCAATGTATGTGTTGGAGGAGCGGGAGGGGAGTGGTACCATAAACAACCAAAAAACAACAACCACAAAAAGAAGAATAACTTTCTTCAGAGCAACAAGAACAAGCACGAGGCAAAGTGGCATGCGCACAAGCGCGGAATAACACCGCCACCTCAACATGAGTGAGGGCGGGCTCACCAACCCGAAAATAACGAAAACAAGAACAGAAGAAAAAAAGAAAAAGAAACCGTAAATCAAAAAAAATGCGGGCTGGAAAACGCCATTCACGGCCCAAATGACGCCGTCGTCTGTGCTTATAAGAATTACTTGCTGCCGGCATTTGTTTTGGCGTGGGAGCGTGCCGTGACGGTGATCTTCTTCACGGAGGGGTGAATGGACCGCTCAATTTTGTCCGCCTTCTTCTTGTCAGCAACGACGAGGGTGTAAAGGTAGCGGCTGCAGCGCACCTTGAACTTTGTCTGCGTCGGGTTGTGCTTCACCTTCACACATCTGGCGTCCTTGCGGGAGCAGATGGCGAGGAACTCCTTCAGGCTCTTGATTTCACGGGGCATCGTTCACCACAGGCGGATCCTTGATGGGAGAAAAAAAAAAAAAGAAAAAAAAAAAGGAAGAAAAGTGAATAAAAGAGGTGCAGGTAGCGTTACTTAAAAAAATAGCGAAAGCGCACAAAAAGACGCATTGGAGTTGCTTTGGCAACGCAGCACCGCCATTGCAACAAACACCCAACTCGTTTCACTTCTTCCCGAACCCACCCGTTCAGTTCCGCCGCTTCTCCGAAAAAAGGGGGTCGGTGCTTGCCGAATCGTCATCAAAGAGTTTGCTGGAGTAAACGCCTTTTCCCGCATACGAAGGGATGTTCAAAAAGTCAGGATCATCTAGCTGACGCCGTGGCTTCACCAAATAACGGTCCCCTTTCAGCTTCCCTGACAGCCGCGCGTTTGCCTCACTCTGCTGGTCAATTGACTTCTCATGCGCAAACTCCTGCGCCGACAAATAATATATGAGTTTGTTGTACCCAATCAGAAATACGATCCCCCCGGCAACGCAAAGAATGGGCAGGCGGAACTCCTCCCAGAAAAGAAATAGCAAACCTGAGAGTTTCACATTGCCGGCGTGATCGTAAAGAATGCGTCTCTGACGTTCCTGTGCAATACGATCTCGTTCCTTGTCGCTGTGCTGGCGGTAGCTGCCAAGCCGCCACAGACGACTTCGCCGAAGCATGAACACCGTACTAAACAGAAGTAAGGGGAAATCACAACACGAGACACACAAAAAAGGGACAGCGTAAAAGCGGCAGACACGTCCCTCAAGCAAACAGCTACACATTTCAGTATCGTCAAGCTTCAATTGATCACCGTTAAGTGCCCAGACGTGTTTTTTTACAAAAAATTTTTCAGCCGCAGTGGCAAAAGTAGCGAGAACCATGTACAGCACAAACGCTAGGAAGCACACACCAATGGAAAAAAAGAAAATAAATAAATAAGGCTTCAGTTAAGGGGGGCTCCACTGTGGCAACTCCTCATCGCACCCCCAAAGCTGATTGGGGACCAACATTGATATACATGCATATATTGGAAAAAAAAAAAAAAAGAATTGGAAACAAGAGAAAAAAAAAAGAAAAAAGGGCTCAAACAAACAAACAAAAAAAAAAAAAAAAAACGAAATTCAGACTGCACCAGAAACACGCATGCCACACCACTTTGCCGCCGTTCCCCGCGTCTTTGTATCCTCTCATCAAATCTACTTTCTCCTCAAGAAAAAAAAAAAAAGGACACCGAGTAGAAAAAAAAACGAATCACGAAGCTCACAACGTGTATGGCTACGAGATCAAAAACACAAATTCTGATGTAAATACAGAATAAAAGCGGACGAGAAACAGGAATGCAGCGCAGCCTAAAGATCCTCGGTAAACAATTCCTTAATTAATTCCTTGTAGCGCTCGTCAATGACGCGTCGCTTCAACTTCATGGCTGCCGTCAAGACATCGTTTTCGGGGGTCCATTCCTCTGCCAACAGTCTCACATGGCGGACTATCTCGAAGCTCCTGCGACCGGCCGCTCGTGCAGTCGCCTGAAACGATTCTGTCGCCTTCTGGCGAAACTCTTTGTTTTCAAGAATGGCGGGAAAGCTGCCAGGAATTTTGTTTTCCTTTGCAAATTTCATTACAAGATCTTTAGTGGTGATCCCCAAAGCAACCGTATAACTACGGTTGGGATGCACCAGCACACACACACCATTGTTGGTAACAAGGCCGTTTGCTCCATAGGTTGCCTCCAGAGTCTCTAGCGCGATGTATTCACCGTTGGAATTCTTTGCCAGCGCCTTCACACGGCCCACAATGCTAATCGTTCCATTGGGTGCTATGGCACCCACATCACCCGTGTGAAACCAGCCATCGTTGTCAATGACCTCCTTTGTCTGTTCCTCCTGCTTATAATATCCCTTGAAAAGAAATGGCCCACGCAGCAATATTTCCCCACGGGGTTCCGGTTTGTCGGTGTGCTTGTACTCCTCTGTGTCAAGTAGCCTTATTTCCAGGGAATTGAGTGGTGGACCAACATTCACGTATTCAAGATTGCCCGTACGCTGAATTCCACCGCAGCAGACTGTTTCTGTGAGTCCCCATCCTTGAATAATCATGCCGAATACAACATTTACAAACTCTTGTGTAGAGGGGTTCATAGGCCCTCCACCAGAGAGCAGCACACGTACACGGCCTCCCAATGCCTTGCGTACCTGCGAAAAGACTTTGGCGTTATAGTAAGGCGTGTCTTTTCCTTCCTTTAGCGCCTTAAGACGGGACTGGTAGGCACAATCAAAGACACGACGTTTTAAGGAGCCCGGTGGGGGTAACTTTGCCTCCACCCCTTTTTTTACCGTATCAAAGATACGTGGAACACCAACGACAAGCACGGGGCGATACTCCTCAAAATCTCCTCGCGGTTTTGCAAAGGTACTCGACAGTGTCCGTGGACTTCCAAAACAAATGGTACACCCACGAAGAAACAGGATACTCAACACAGCAAGTTCCATAATATGGGCAAGTGGCAAATACGAACAATACGTTTCCAATTCATTTGGTTCGCCAAGAACGTCCCGGACGCGATGAGCCAAGGCTGAAAATCCCGCTGATATACTTCCGTGCGAGTGCATTACACCCTTCGGATTCCCTGTGGTACCGCTTGTGTACATAATAAGTGCAAGATCATCGCGGTTCTCCGAACTGGGAAGATTTACAACTGAAACCTTACTGTCCTCGCCTTTTTTCAGGACATCGGTCCAAGCATACAGAGTATAACCTGCAGTATCCGTGGACTCTGGAATTGAGCCAAGATAAATAATAATAGTGCCGAGGATCCCCATCTTCCTTAATACACCAATTAGTTTTAAAACATTACTTCCATTGCAAATGACAGCTTTACAATGGGTTTCCTTTAGCGCATAGGCAAGAGCATCATCACCCAGGTTTGCGTACACAGTCGCCGCAACCATACGACGAGACCAAATAGCATGAATCGAACAAAACCATTCCCATCGAGTTTCTTCATACATTGCCACCTTCTCTCCTTCTTGAAGTCCAATTTCAGCTAATCCCTTTCCCAGTTTCTCTATGTTTGTCCACAATTGCGAATAGGTTATGTTACGACGTTCTGGTTCAAACACGCACACTTCCATCGTCTTCTCTTTGCCAGTATGATCGGTTGAAGTAATGCGCTCAATATTTTCTACGACACGGTATGTCATGGCCGTATTATTTTTGAGTTCCTTGCACATTTTAAACACATTCTGGGTTGGCGTTTCTGAAAGATAGTAACTCTGAACGATTTTTTTGTGTTCCTCATCTGACATGCCAACCACGCGGTAAATGGCGGAGGCGTTGTTCTTCTCTGTCCCTGGAACGGGCTCCGATTGCTTCCCAAGCCTCATATATTCCTGGTATTCGCTAAAGTCAACAAGACTCCGCTCGTTCTGCCGCTCCATCATAGACGTCACACAGCCTCCCATCTTGTTTTCGTTGGATTTGTGCTGCTTGAATGTGCCCTTTTGGTAAAAATCAAGACCAATATGTATATTTTGTGCCTATTTTTTATCTCTTATACTAATTCCGCAAAGTTCTCAAAAGTACTTGTCTCTTCTTCACCTCTCCTCACATTCAAATGTCGTTGCTGCTATGGATGGCAGTGTCGGATTCGACGGAGGGGATTGGCATGAGATGGGCACATAAGCCAACGTAAAGAAAAAGGAAAAAAAAAAAAAGACGAAAACCGGAATCCGCAAAAAAGAAAGTTATGACGCGTGTCAAGCGTCAAACCAAAATATCAAAGGAATGGAAAAAATTTTAAAAAAGAAAAGGTAACAACGCTTCCGAGCGACTCCAGTCCACTCAGACACACACACACACACATGCAGACACACACATGCAAACACACACACACGGTCACACCAATCGATGCGCGGACCAAACAGAAAACACTAATCGGGCGTCATGCCGGGGTAAAGTGTGACGTGAGGGCCAAGGAAGCGACCGGCGCGGTTCCACGTGGGCGGAATCCAAAAAATACGACGACCTTGTAGCGTTGTGTACGCTGACATGATGTGTCCCCGGCGGCGGCGTTCTAATGCCTGTTGCGATGCTCGCGAAAAAAACTTCAGCCGCGGTTCAAGTGAAAGACGCTCTTCAAACTGAAACAACGGGGGGAATCCCCACGGTGTCATCGCCTCCGAGCGCTCCACAATGCGTTGGTAAAGCTCAAAGTAGGACGCCATGGGGCGCCGTGTGAGGCCCATTCGCCGCATCACATCCGCTGCGGCGCTAATACCTGCGAGGCGCGTTGCCGCACCGCCTTCCATTTGCCGCTTTGCAATTTCACGGTAGGCAGGGCTACGCACGGCGGACTCATAAAATCGAAAAGCAGTTCGTAATGTCATCTCCCCATTTGCGACCGCCTCGGCAAGTGTGCGCAGGTGGTTATACACAAGACGTGAGCGGACATCGCCTGGATTTAGCACAGACATTGCCGTATGGCAGAGCCAAACAAACGTATCATCATTTTCTGAGAGTTTGTCGTAAACTTTCTTAAAGCGACGTCCCGAGATAAGTTGGTCATACGAGGCACCTTGGATAAACTCCACTAGTGCCTCAAACTCGGTATCCCCACGTGACATGAGTTCCCGCCGCGATCTTTCGCCCTCAAGGTTCTTCGGTATCATTTGCACCTCCCGCATGGCCTCACCACCAGAAGAAAAACGTGCCTTCTGCTTCTCTTTAAGTGGGTCGGTTGTGAAGGATGCTTTGATGAAGTGCGCCGGGTAGTTGGGTGTTGGGTGGATGGGAACAATGACGCGACGTTTCGCCGCAAACATCGACTTGTCCCGCAGAACGCAACAACACCGCATCATGACCCGCTTGTAGCGTTGGCTTCCGCACGACTCCTACAAAATGTTGTTTCGAAAAAAAAAAGCCTTTGCGGCGGTTGGCAGCTGCAAAAGAAAAAAAAAAACAACCTTCGCCGCCTCTCTTATTGGATGCAAAAACCTTCAGGTGCACGCACTCACACACACACAAACAGGCAGACACATGCACCGACAACTCTCGTCGTTTCTTCTTCTTCTACTTCGAGTGGGCACTCGTTTGCCCTCGTGGGTCGTAATGTTATGAACCCACAGAAAACACAAACACAAACACACAAAAAAAAATGCAAGTGAGCAGGCAAACCGACAAAATAAAAAATAAAATAAAATGAAGGCAACAAGTCAAATAAAACAAAAACGATCACCGCTCGGCAATAATAAAAACCCAAACGCCTGAAGAAGCCGCCAGAAAAACACAAGCAAAAATATGTGGGAAAAAAAAAAAAAAGGTACTCGCTAACATGCAACGTAAACTCAGCAGGAAAATTCAGAAATTGAAAAATATAACCTGCCACAGAAGGAAAAAGGCATTTGGATAAACGTCCTCAGATAACTTAATTTCGTTGCTTATCCTCCCTTCCCTTCCCTTCCCTTCTCTCTTTTTTTTTTTTTTTTTTATGTTGTCGGTTTGCTTTTCCATCGGTGATAACGGCAGGCACTTCAGCTGGCATCCTCGCTGGCGAGAAGTTCCTCCGAAAACATCGGCACCAGCTCCTCTATTTTCTCTATCAATTCCTCCATGGAAAGGGAGCTGATAGACGAAAACTGTGGGCTCGTACACTGCTCATCCTGGGCCGCAATCATTTCATTGATAAATGTGCGACAGGGTTCAAACCAGGCATGCTGCAGCGCCTTATCCGCTGTCGGTCGGTCACGCGGGTTAAATGAAAGCAGATTCTCCGCCAAATCAATGATGAGCGACTTCTCCGCATCTTTCCCCTGTAAAATGGGAGTGCGAAGTAATAATTCACGCAGCATCGATTTACGTGGTCGTTTTTCAATCACTGAAAGGGCGTAGTTCTTAGCGTTCACAGAGGCCCGGGCGAATGGCTGCCCCTCGTTAAACACAGTAGCCGGCGGGGTGCCCACCAGATGAAAAATAAGGTTCAACTGATCCGCAGAGTCGTTGCACTTTCCTGGGAAGAGGTGTCGACGAAGGAGCAGCTCACACACAATGACACCTACACTCCACACGTCGTTTGCGGCATCGTACTCCGCGTCAAGGATGATCTCCGGCGCACGATACCACTGCGTCACGACACCAAAAGAAAGCTGCTCATCCGGATCAAAAAAGCGACTAAGACCAAAATCACAAACAAAAACCTGTGAATTGTAGTTGATAAGAATGTTACGCGTAGAAAAATCGCGGTGCAGGACGTTACATCGGTGCATGGCGCGTAAGGCAAGAAGCAACTGACATGTAATGTAACGAATGATGTTTTCTGAAAGCGCAATAGACTTGCTCTTCACCACCAAAGAGAGATCGGACGGAATGTAATCCATCACCACATACACATCCTTCTCGCGGCTCGTCGGCCGGAAAAGCAGTCGGCATCCCACAACTTGCTCGCAGAACTGCAAGTTTTGCAAAATTTCAATTTCGCGCAGCACACGGCGAAGTGTCTCCTCACTCTTAACATAATTTGGTATCTTCTTAATGGCAATTTGGTCCGTGCCGTAAACCGCCTTGCAGACCGCGCCGTACGACCCCTGGCCAATGATGGACTCCACCTTAAACACTGGCGGGACATCAAAGATAAGAGGCGCACTGCTGTTCATCTACGCGGTGTTCCCCTCCCATCAACCCAAAGCATTGGAGGAGAAAAAAAAAAAAAAAAGGAAAAACTGTAAACAAACAAACAAAAAATCAATGCAATTCTCAACGCACCCCCCCGTGCAAACGAGTTGTTCGCCGCCCTCTCTCCCCCGCAGCACTGCTCTGAGAACAGAAATAAAAACAAATAATAAAATAAAAACAAACACGCATGCATGGGGATAAACACAACTTTGTAATCCACCATGAAGAGAGAGAGAGAAAAAAAAAAAATATATTAAAAAAAAAGATATAGAGCTTTATGTATATATATATATGTGTGTATATATATATCCATGAGAACAACAATCTCCATAATAGAGAAATTATTCATACAGTTTGGGTATTTGTCTCTTTTCACTGAAGAGGTCAATAATAATAATGAAAATAAAAAAACGATTGCCGGCGTAAAACACACACAAAAAAATAAAAAAATAAAAAAAAAAGAATCAGGTTTCTTCATTTTACACCGCAGCCTTTATTGTATTCGCCGTGCCTTGCACAAAAGTCATCTGCAGAGAAATCGTGCAGCTTCACCCAGGCAGGCTTCGCATTTGTGTTTGGCAAATCAAAAAAAGAAACTGTTTGTTGTTTTTCTTCAGTTCGACAACACAAATGTGGCCGCGTGTAGCCCTTTGCGACCACGCCCTCACCTCGCCGTGTAAACACATTCGCCCCACTACCATTCACTCCGGAGGCAATTCCTCCGGGGACCAAACGCATGAGAGTTTCCTTCTTTTTTTTTTTTTGTTTTTTTTTTTCGTCTGTCTTTCAGCCGTACTTATCGATGTGCTGCCCGCATGATGCCTCCCGCCCTCTAATGAGAGCGTGTGGGAGTCCGCAGCGCCGTGCCCGGCCGCCGCCGGAGTGCTCCTCGCTTCTGCAGCAGCAGGCCGCGCCGTTCCCTCAAGTCGGTGTTCCTGCAGCCGCACCCAAAACGCGGGAAGGCCGCGCAAACACTCGCACCCACGCACACCACCACAGTGACCAAGTGATAAAAACACACGCAGCCCCAACCCCGTAAAATACAAAACCCAAAACAAAAACAAAAACAAAAACAAAAACAAAAACAAAAACAAAAACAAAAAACAAAACAAAAAATGACACGCACAAAAATAAAAATAAAAATAAAAATTCCAAGGCTCTTCTTAAATACGTTGACTCTCTAATACGCCACACGTAATTCTTCACTGCAGAAAAACATACAAACATATATATATATATATATACGTATATATATATATATATACGATATAAAAGTAATATAAAAATGAAAACATGCAGAGAAAACAAAAGAAAAAAAAAAAAAAAAACATAAAAGGAGCCACAAAAACACCCCCACCCAAAAAAAAAAAAAAAAAAAAAAAAAAAAAATACTCAAAAAATCCACAATAATAAAGTAATAAAATGCACGCACAAAATCTCAAACAACCACTACCTTCAAAGATCATTGCACACACACAAAAAGCAAAGAAAAACAAAAAGAACGGGTCAAAATAAAAATACTATAAACAAGCAGCAGGAAATTGGGATGCATACGTTAGATGATATCGAGTGCAATATATATATATATATATGTATATATACGCTTCTCCCCAGTACAGAGGGTTAGGAGGGTTGAGGAGGGGGGATTTGTTACACCGCCGTAGCCCACTTCACTCTTTTATTTGATCTCCTCCTCCTCCTCCCTCCCCCCTTCGCCTTCCGCACATCTCCTCTTATTTTTTCTTTCCTTTTCCCCCGTTTCCCTTTTAAATTGCCCCCCCCCCTTTCCATTCCCTGCCGTTTTCCCTCCGCGGTGGCGCAATATGACGTCGTGCAGCCAACAACAACAATGACAATAATACCACCAGAGAAATACATGCGAAAGGATCAACACGGAGCGCACAAAAACAACAACAACAAAAAGTGATTCGTCGTAGTTGTTGGAAAAAGGAAGAAGAAAAAGAAAAGTGTGATGATCACCACACGCAGCCCTCCAAAAAAAAAAAAAAAAAAGATATGGAGCGGAGAAAAAAAGGCACAATAAAAGAGAAAAAAAAAAAAAAGATGCACAAAAAATCTCTTCCAGAAATAAAAACAAAATTCCTTTTCTTTTCTTTTGCGTGGTTTCTGTCGTGTAATCACTTGCACCCGGAAAGCTTTCCTTTAGTTTTGCGTAGAAAAACGTAAACAATAATCGAGAGAACGACAAAACTACCTCCACACGCATATACACACATCCCGCAGACGCACATGCAAAAAAAAAAACAAAAAAAAAAAAACACAAATTAAAAATTAAAAATTAAAATATTTAATAAATGAAAATAATTACGTGTAAATACGTACAAATATGTACATACATACGCATATATACAGATATATAATTACGTACATAGGTGAATACACAGATACGCGTATATATAAGTATATATACTTGTACATATATACATATACATTTATATTTATTTATTTGAGGAAACCCACACACAGGAAGAGTAAAAAAAAAAAAAAAAAAAAACCAACCAAACACATACACATACACACAACAACAAAAAAAA